GGCGAAACCACTGAGCTAAATCCCTGGCCCAGCTACACCATTGTTAAAGGGAAAAAATGTAGAAAAAATTTCCTTCTGGAATGACTTTTGATTTATCTTTTGCTAATAATCTCTCCCTGTAATGGACATGCATATGTACACATCAAATGAATGAAATCATTTTTTTTGTGATTTTTTTTTTCCTAAAATAAACTTCCTATTATCATAGAATCATTGGGAAGAAAAGATTGATAAGAGTATGGAGTTATGAGGCTGAGGATTTAGCTCAGTGGTGCCGCCACCTGCCTCGGAAGCATAAGGTCCCAAGTTTGATCCCCAGTACCAAAAAAAACAACAACAAAAAAGAGTATGCAAAATTATCTCTGGAAGATGATGTTTTTAATTTTTAAAGTATCTCCAGCAATGGGAACATTTCATGTTATTCTAAGGAAGCATTATTAAATTCAGTAATCATAGGTTTGGGGGCTTTGTTTTTCCCACTTTGGTGCTTGGGATCAAGCTCACCACATGCTAGGCAAGTGCTGTGCTGCTTTGCTGTACCCGAGCCTCAACATTTATAGTTATTAATCCTTCCACTCATCTTTAAAACTCAGGAATCCTGTTGATGAGCTAGTTTACCCTTCTTCATATGGATGTTGAGTTCTGATTGACAGGTACTTGAACAGTGTTTGAAAAGTATTTCAAGACTTGGAAAACCTCAATCTTGATAATGATGACTTTTCTTTTTATATATACTAGGTCCTTTCCTCAATTTTTGGTTTTTGAGACCGGATCTCACTATGTAGTTCAGGCTGACTTTGGGCTGACTTTGAGCTCACTATGTAGCCCAGACTGGCGTCAAAACTCACACTGATGCTTCTGTCACAGCCTCCTGAGTGTGCTGGGATTATAGGCGTGCACCACAATGTCTGGCAACCTTTCTTCAATTTTTAACTACCATCCTATATACTATAAATAGGAAATTAGAACTATTGGTATATGCTGTTTATAGGGGAATAGAAAAACTATGAATTTTAAAATAGGGTTTTAGATTTCTTTCTTATGTCATAGTAGTACTTAAAAATGGCTAATTCTGTAAACACATCAGCATTTCTCTTCTACAATTTAAACCTGTTTCTTTTTGGCATGGGAGATTGCACTCAGGACCTTGTGCTTGCAAGGCAGGTGCTGTGCTGCTGAGCCAAATCCCCGGTTCCTTTTTTGTTCCTTTTTTGAGATGGGGGGTCTCAGTATGCTCCCCAGGTGGGCTTCACACTCCTGGGCTGAAGTGATCATCCCACATGAGCCTCCCACAGAGCTGCGACCACACATGCATATCATCATGCCTGACTTACATTGAAAACTTGGAAGATTTGCTTTTAAATGAGAATGTTTTTGCAAAATCTTAAATTGTTGTTTTAGAACTAAATTTCTTTATTAAAATTTTTGATTCATATTAACATAATATCCTAGAAATAAATATTTTCATATATTAATATCAGTATATGTTTATGTCCTTGAACCAGATGTCGATATATATAATTAAAAAATTGAATCCCCTGGATTTTCCCCCCTTTGGTTTACAAGAATTTCAGAGTTCTGTGTAGGTTAGCGTTCTTACATTAGTTTAATGTGTTTTACAAATACTTAACTTCTTGAGCCCATAGGCTTTCCTGAATAAGTTCATCTACTCCTTCTCCAAACATGTTTACTCGGTCCTGTCTTCTAAGTCCTCTGGTCCCCTCAAATTTGATGTACCACCCTGAAAACCTTGACCGTGACCCTTTCCTGACTATATTAATAAATGGCACTGAATCTCTGAAGCTGGGAAAATCCTGGAGCCTGGCCATCCTTCTGGTCACGCATCCAGCCTTTCACAATCAGTGTTTCCTACCTGCTCACAGATTTTCACATCTGCATTCATTTTCTTCCCTATTAATTTGAAATAATACTCTTTTTCTGCTCCTCCTTCCCCCATTATGCTCATCTACCTTACACTGCTGCCAGGGTGGCCTTTTCTGCAGAATATTGGATCCTCATTACACAAAGAGCCCCTGATGCTCCTGTCTTATCCTTCCATGCCATTGGAGGAACTGTATTCCGGTTTTGCCACATTGCTTTGGCTTCCCTCATTTGCTGTGCGGTTTCATGCCTCATCCTTTTGTTTATGCTGCCCTGTTTGGAATGCTCTTCACACACTTCCTGTCCACTTTCTCTCCCTTCCAAAATAGGACCAAAGGTTTGTGGCTTTTCCTGAGCTTCCCAGGTAAAGCTGACTGTTCCTTGCTTTGGACCCCAGTTGTAGAACCAATGAGATACAATTTTCCGTTCTTTTTTTTCTGTGTATCCTTTTATTGGTACATTTCAGGTTGTACAACATAATGACATTCATCATTGGAGATATGCACCTTTACAAACTCTCTTGGTTATTACTTTTACCCCTTCCCCTACCCTCCCTTCAACCCCTTCATCCCTCCCTTTTTACAAAGACTTTGTTTCCCTTTTTTCATTTTCTCATATTAATTCCATTCCCTCTTTCCTTTCCCCTACACCTCCCACTTCCCCCTCCCCTTTGCCCCTTTTCTTCCTATTTCACCTTATCTATTATACCTTTTAGTCCTTATTTACACTTTTAGTCTCTCATACTAGAGAAACTATTCAGCTTTTACACATGTGTGTCCAATTTATATCACTTAATAGTATCACCTCAATGTGCATCCATTTAGCAATAAATGTCTCTAATTTCTCATTTTTGATGGCTGAGTAGTCCTCCATTTTATAAAAAACCCCACATTTTCTTGATCCAGTCTCCAGTTGATGG